AACCTTATGTCAAAGTATCCATAAGAAAAAATTTCTTAAAAACCATATTTATTAAATAACTTACGTTAATTCCAATAGTAACTTGAACACTTCAGGAATAAAGACTTACCTTGAAGATGTGGTGACAGCATAAAATTCCAACCCTTTTTCACCTGCAAAAAGGGCCAAAGCAAAAAACTTGGGCACCACCAACACATGCTCTTGCCTCACAGCATCATCCAATGCTAAGCTCCCATTAAGACCAACAATTTGGACCCGACCACCGCCCTTAAGGACATAAATGACCCGAGTCGACCCATCCGTGGTGTAAGAAGGGCCCAACACCGAATTGGGCCCGAGCCTCACCAGACTAGCACTGAGCCCAATTTTCTCTAGCAAACCGAAATTATCCGCCGTGATGTCCGCACGTGCCACAGATTTTGGACAACAAGATTTATCAGAACGAATCAAATCGAGCATATTAGTAATATATTCTCGATCATCGCAATTGGATAGATCGGGCATGTTTATTTCTTCACCGAGCTCGAGAATCAACGCCGCAGTTTGACTTTTCGCGAGATTCTTGGATTGGGGTTGGTCGAGATTATATATTTTGCTAGTAAACTCAGTGGGAAAGGCTCCGAGGGCACCAAGTGCCCCCGTCAGGAAGAAATAATCGAACTGGCCTGGATTGTATGATTGTTTGGTTTCTCCGAGGAATATCATGGTCGTGTCTGAATCTCCACCGTTGAACCACCACGAAATGGTGCCCATCGGGACAGGGATGGCATCTCCCTCCTTGATTTTAACGATAGTCTCTTGTGGGTCGTTTGGTTGTACTAACCCGACCGTGCATGTGCCTGCATGTAAAGTGAGACATCAAGTTGTATGTATAGTACATATGTTGTAGTCATCATTCTAAAGAAATTAAACTTGCATTTGTGTATATGTTAATTTCATACATATGTTAATATCTATTATGGGATAAGGAAAGGGGGTCACATTATGGCAAGGGGTACTTGGATGACCTGACAATGCTCAAGAGAGGAATCCTTATGGCTAGCTCGAGTTAGGGTGCATGGATGACTTAGGGTGTGTTTGTATATGAAAATCATCAATCCATACTCAATTCAAACTCAAGATTCAACTCAACTCTAACTCAACTTCGGTATCCTCAATATTATCAATATAATTAAATAATATCGATCAATTATTCTTACACATCATATCTACTTTAATTTACTATTCATCCACTCACATAATTTTAACTAACTATCAATTTACAACATCTCTCTCCTATTTTTACATCAAAATTCAAAATCAATTATTATATTTTAAATATTATATTAATATAAAATCAAAATCTCACTAACAACTAACAATACCACTTTCTTTCAAACTTAACACTGGTTAACCAAAAAAACTCGTTATATTTGTATACAAACATGACAATTCTTGAGTTGGAAAGGTCCTGATGATTAGCCCGAATTGTTCATCAAAGTTTGAGTTGGTTGAATAATTTTGTTGGAATATCACTTGTGAGTTGTCTCACATTGATTCTACAGGATTAATGATTTATAAGCCTAGTAGGTTACTCCTCCCATCATCAATTGATTTTGGGATGGAACATCATTAAAGTGCAACTAGGCTCACCCTCTTATGATGCGCTTCATCTGGTGGGACCGCACTCTCTTCCCCCATTCTATAAATCCAATAAGTTTCCTCAAATGACCAAACTGTGTTCGACAATTTCGGGAAACATGGTTGGGAGGGACAATATTGATCTGATTATAAATATGACTTCTCAAATAAGAAAAACGATCCAAATACTTTGAGGGATGATAGTATGATACAATTATATGCAAATGGAATAGCTTGGAACCCCAACACTTTGCAGGAAGGTCATCTTTTCACATTCAGGGGACGGAGGTTTTTGAAGAGGAGTAATAAACTGAAAATTTCAGTATAAACGAGAAGGTAAAGGTCACATCACATTTCATGGTTACGAGACAAGAATTAATTATACATGCAAATGCAGATGAATATATGAATCAAAACCCGAAAAAACCGATCTTGCCTTGAACAACATAACCGATCTTGTAAGAGTCGGCGTAGTGAGGCAGAGCAAAGCCGCGTGGCCGCAAAACCAGCTTTCCGGCACCGACGGCCAGCTGAGCGAGCACCGGAAAATTGGAAGGAGTCCACGCGTAATATCCGCCGCCTTCTCCCTCATACACGCTGGTGTCGGCCGATTGGGGAGATAGATTCAACGCCATTGATTCACTAATTGTAAATGATATGACAAACAGCTATAATAATGAAGGTATAAATATATATCTCCAAGAAGATTTTGTTGGATTTTTTCGTTATTATTTTATTGTTAAATTATACATTATTGTCGTCTGTGATTTGAAAACGACAAACAAAATAATGAGGGGTATGTAACGTGACGTAACAGTGAATTGGTTCGCATTCCACTGCCAAACTTGAAGCCAAACTTGAGCCAAAGATGTACTCCCTCCATTTTGAAATATAAGGCATTTAAGGTTATTGCACGAATATTAAAGAGACATTAATTAATGAATAAATTGACTAAATTAACCTTATTTACTCTAATCACAACCACTCCACACTACCTTAATTTCAACACAATGAAGGTATATTTGGAAAAAAATACAAAAATTTGTCTTGATTTTTTAGCGCGCCTTATATTTCAAAAAAAAAATGAGAAATCTTTATACGCCTTATATTTCAAAATGGAGGGAGTAATTAATAACATAGGAAAATGCAAAGGTCTAACGGTACCATCCCGTCAAATGTTTTAACTGTTGGATCACATGTAGTTTGTATAATATAGATAATCCAACGGTTTAAACACTTGACGGGATAGTACAGTAATCTTTTCCAATAACATATTTGTTGTGTACTCGACAGCTGTTAATATTTAATGAATTGAAGCCAAATTAATTTAAGTCAATGGATATTTACTATCTTTGAGTAACGTCTCATTACCTCTTAAAACTCTTTAATTGACAGATCGATTGTTTCTCGTATTATGTAATCTATACCTATATAAAAGGAATCTTATTTACTATATTTAGTATCCAGAAAAGTCAACAGCATTAAATGTCATTGACTGCGCGTCGCAACGCGGCAAAATTAAAATTTATATTTTTTCCTCGACTAAACTCTACTAACTAGTAGTAGTGGCGAGCAAGGGTCGATCCCCCGAGGAGTGTGAATCAGATCGTGAATTTTCTCGTATTAATTGAAATCATAAAAAGCGATAAATGGAGGGATTTTGATTTAATAACTAAACTACCTAAAAATCTAATGAAATAAATAAAATCTAAACAAGAAAATAAAAATAAAAATAAATAAAATAAGAGAAAGCTTCTAGTTCACGGTTCCGTCTACACCCTCGACTGACTCGTCTAATCAATTTTAGTATCAAATCTCGCTATCTCATGAAATTACTAGCCCTAGGTAACGACACGGTCTGTTACCCGAATTTTTCCTTATTTTTAACCGCGAGACGCTCGACGATTAAACCTGACTTCTTGTATAGTCCAGAAAAACGTTTTCAAGATTTAATATAATTAGCCGCTTTACGATTTAGAAAAATAGGCTAGACTAATTAGTGAACTCAACCGCGTTCGTTCACTTAATTAGACCGTGTTATCCCCGGTAGTTATCATCTTCCGGTTACTTCTTATTAATTAAACACAACAACAATTACGGATTGCAGGTCTAACTCAGAAGTAGATATGAAAAGCCTAATCTAGGTGATCAATCTAAACAAGACTAACACATCATGGTGAATTATTCAAAATAACACAAACAATTCCAAAAAGATATTAAAATTATCAACCACGTAAATTAATCAAACATCGTCAAGTCGTAAGGTTCAACATCACCGGAACTAGAAATAAAAATCTAGCCTAACATAATAAATAATAAAAGAAAGAGAATAAGAATATTCCCTTTCGTGTGCGGGTGCGGCCTCCCTCCGCGATTGATAGGCTTCCCCGCGTATCTGTCTTCTGCCTGCGTCTCCCCGTTGCAGCTGCTGCGTTTTGCGTCAATATATGGTGGCTATTGCGTGACAGCTGCTCCAGAAAAAAAATAATGCGTCTCCATGCTGCGTTAATATTTATCTCTCTCCGCAATTGAATAAATCAATGTTGAGCCCAAATAACTCCATCAACTCCTAATTCGTCCATAATTCCCACGTGGCTGCCAATTAATTCCCAATGCTCTCTCATGACAATTAATATATTTTGCCGCATTCATTTTGAGCCCACACTCCATTGTTATGGCAATGAACTATTTGGCATATTAGCCCATATAAGAAATCTGCTGAAAGCTTAATTGTCTTGAGTGAAATGGGCCACGTCTATATAATTACTCCAATATCTTAAAATTAAACCATAAATATATCATAGCACTTGAATCCATCTAATAAATAAATAAGTCAAAAAACAATAAGTGCGATAAAATTAAGCATATAAAAATACGCTAATAAATATATAATATACACACTTTTGTCAACTAATCAAATCTCCCCAAACTTAAACCATTGCTTGTCCCCAAGCAACTTAGAACTAAAAGCACATAGATGGATCAAAAGATAAGTACGTGGAACTTTACTCAGGGCCTCACAATTCTCACATAAGTGCATAGCTCAAACAACTCAAAATAATATATTCGGACTCAAGATGAAATCATTCTAAGAACTCCAACATATCAAGTATCAATTCAAGTGACCACCATAGTTTGTCAATCTCTATAACGAATGCACCAATCAATGCAACTCATGACACCCTCTCTTTGCTAACAAATCAAGTTCCCTTCCGTTTCTAGCCGAAGTCTAAATGTCTCATTCTCCACACTCTTTTTTTTTCCTCTCTTTTTTTTTTTTTTTGGGTGCCAAACGGCTTTTCGACTCCACCAATTATTCTTTTCGACTATGAGACATAGAAACCCCAACTTTCAACTTCAAGTCCTCAAACTTAATCAACATTGATTAAAGCAATCACAAGCACATCTCAACAATACAAATCGTCTCAAAACCAACTCACCACAAACGAATCACAAAAATATCAACCTTCATGCCTTTGTCCCCAAAATAAAAACACCTTAAGAATTTAACCAAATAAAATTAAATCAAGCCATTTAAACTAGCACAATAAATTCAATCCGACTCTCAGATCATCATTGCAAAATTCCACGTACATGTAATCTCACACTAACACAAGACAAAACAAATATCATGCAATCTAAGAACTCAAACTCTAAGGGGTATAAATATAGTCACATAATAAAACATGAATGCTCACCAACAAACCACCTCCCAAAACTTAAAGCTTGCATATATCATAGACACTCAAATAAACAAAAACGGAGGTAAAAGAAACGAGTTCACCTTAGTCAATGCGAAGAAGGTTCCCGAACCATGCACACCATTGAATTGCCTCCCAACAAGCGCCTCATTTTATTGTCGTTGGCCCGACTTATTGCTCCCTTTCATCAAAGGATCCATGGCGGCTTCGGAGGTGGCCTCAAGGGAGGCATCAATCTCACCGCACCATGTTCTTCGAAATTCTCCCTCTCCGGTGTTGGGTGCTTCACCGGATCTTTTCTCCATGACGCTAATTCCTCAAGGATGTGTAGCAACCCACGCTCGATCACGGTCACCGCCTCAACAAAATCCCATTCACACCTTGAGTTTTGCTTGATCGTCTCAAGAGAAGGTATATCAAGGCCCAAGACATGCTCCAGTGCATCCTTGCTTAGTACCACTTCATATTAGAATACATAGGACACGGTTTAGCTTCTATCGGCACAAGAGCGGGAAGAACGGTACGCTTTTTGCCTACAGCAGGTCGAGTATGGGGTACCTCCGTATTCTGCTGCTCAGCCCCATATTCTGCAGCTTGGTTCTCTTTTTCGCTCTCATTCTTTTCGATATTCGTGATTTTCTCGTTCTCCAGCTCGTGTGTGCACTCTTCAAGTTCCTCGAGGTCCTCGCTGTACGAATGGATGACGCTCGAACTCATTGGACTCGTTTCCAGCCGATACCAGTCGATCCATCTGGTCCACCAATTGACTCAGTTGGCCTTCTAAATTCTTTATGCGCAGTTCTTGGTTCTTAATGCTCGCCTCTTGGTTCTTGATACTCGTCACAACACCTTGCTGAAAGTTAAGGGTGTGAGCTGTCAACTCCTTCACCATCTCCTCGAGAGACGGACCAGGATCTCTCTCAACTATTGGCTCGCATTGTTCTTGCAGAAATCTCAAAGTGTGAGCCTCTAGTGCCTTCACCATATCCTCTAGCGATGGGCTGGGATCTCGCGCAATTGGTGGCTCAGAATATCCATGGAAAGAGTTCGAGTGCTCTCTTAAGCCATACTCGTTCTCCTTGGGATACATGTAGTCTTGCTCGTATCTTCGCCAACCACTATGCCCTCTTACGCCTCGATCTCCAATCCACGGACCTCGTATCTCCCTCTCATACTGGTAAGGTGTCTGGTGAGTATAAAATTCGTGATAATAGGCTGCCATCTCGAAAAGTTGCTCAAAGCTCGCAACAATCGCCCAAAAATTAGTCAATCCCGCGAGTATGGGGGCGAACTATTCTGTCCAGCAGAGTATGGAGGCACCCAGTATCCGATATTCAGTGTTTCAATGTGTTCATTACAAGTGGTACTAAAGACTCGGTATGTGGTACTAAAGCCCCATAAAGTGGTACTACCTTACTCTAGGTCTGGTACTACTTCTTTTAAATGTTGACCACAATTGAAATAATCCATCTTGGTTAACCAAAAGTAGGTACTAATTGATCAATATCAGGTACTACATAGAAGAATAACAGGTACTATTCCAATAAAAACTGGTAGCAGAAGTGTATTAAGTATTGTTTATCCATTAGTGCGATTAAACATAATTAAAATAGTACTTGTTATTCTTCTGGTAGCATTTGTGATTTGAATGAAAAATAGTGAAAGTTAAAACATATAGGTAGCATTTGGAGTACTCATTTATGATGATTCTATGAGAAAGTGTGTCATTCAATGAAATGAAGTGTATTAGTAGTGTTTTCTCATTAGTATGTCGAGTTCATGACCATTTTATGATTAAACTCAATGAAAAACATTTCAAATCTCATATAAACTAATGTGAGAGTGATTATGGGTCATATAAACATCATTTGAGACCGAATTCGGTCTTTTTATGTGTTCATTACAAGAGGTACTAAAGACCCAATATCTGGTACTGAAACACCAAATGATGGTACTATCTTACTCTAGGTCTGGTATCAATTATTGCAAATGTTGACCATAATTGAATAATCCATTTTCGTTGACCAAAAGTTGGTACTAATCGATCAAAAACAGGTACCACGTAGAAGAAGATGCGGTACTATTTTAAGAATCGTGTTTTCTATAATCCTACATGTCTACCATGACACGTAAATCGTTCACGCGTGATTTGGATGAAATATAGTGGAAGTTACAACATATAGGTAGAATTTGGAGTATGATGATTCTATGAGGTGAAGTGTGTCATACAATGAAATGAAGTGTATTAGTAGTGATTTCTCATTAGTGTATAGAGTTCATGACCATTTTAAGATTAAACTCAATTTAAAACATTTTAAATCTCATAGAAAATAATGTGAGAGTGATTATTGGTCATATAAACATCATTTGAGACCGAAATTCGGTGCTTTTATGTGTTCATTACAAGTAGTACTAAAGACTCAATATCTGGTACTAAAACAGCGAAAGATAGTACTATCTTACTCTAGGTCTGGTACCAATTATTGCAAATGTTGACCACAATTGAATAATCCATTTTCTTACTCTAGGTCTCACATTAATAATGTATTCTGATTAGTGTGTCGAGTTCATAACCAATTTGCGATTAAACTCGATTAAAAACATTTTAAATCTCATAGAAACTAATGTGAGAGTGATTATGTATGATCATGCAATGAGATGAAGTGTGTCATTTAATGAGATGAAGTGTATATCAGTAGTGTTTTTTCATGTGCTGTTGAGTCCTTGACCAATTTGCAATTAAACTTAATTAAACACATTCTAAATCTCATAGAAACTAATGTGAGACTGATTATTGGTCATGTAAACATCATTAGAGACCGAAATTTGTCGTTTTTTATGTTCGTTGGAGTTGGTACTGAAAACCCGATATCTGGTACTAGAACACCATAATTGCGGTACTATGTTACTCTAGGTCCGGTACTAATTTCGAAAATGTTGACCATATCAGAAATAATCTATTTTTTGTTTTTTTTACAAAGTAGGTACTAATTGATTAATAACTTGTACTGCATAGAAGAAGAAGTGGTACTTTTGTGGAAAAACTGGTACCATTTTACGATTTTTTTTATGTTCGTTGGAGTTGGTACTGAAGACCCAATATGTTGTATTAGAACACCATAATTGCGGTACTATCTGAAGACCAGTTATTATTATTATTATTATTATTATTATTATTATTATTTTTTAAATACGAAATTCTGTATTATATACATCTCAACTTCATCCCTTATATTTTCNTACCATACCCACACAAATAGAGATCAACAAGATGACACACAGTATATACTTTGAAATTCGTCATTCTCAATGTTATTCAGTCTCAAATAATCGGTTTCATTCTAGCTTGAAATTGCGTACGAGGCAAAACAAGTATCCTCTCCAATTCAATTCAAGAATAATGTTTAAGCACTTCAATAAAAAAAGGTCCCATATTGCACATCACATCTTTGATATACACCACCATTCTACGAACCTTTGTTTCACTTTTCAATTTCAAAATCCAACAAAGCCTTCCAGCATGACTTGCACCAGAAAACTGTAAATCATCTTCAAATATGTCTACAAGAAGTCTAAAAACAACAAAAAATAAAAACAGGGCAGCACATACAGAAATTGAATCCACCAATAATAAACTCATACTTAAAATACTTATTCCTCTTCACAAAAGAACTAGTTTGGAATAACAGCAATTTTAACAGCTACTATAGCAATTTCAACAGCTACTATACCCAGGAACAACAACAATTTCAAATTCTTTTCTTTCATCATTTTGAACACTAGTTTGGAATCTTTTCACAAAAAAACCTTTTCCAACAACGTGTTTAGTAGCAATTTCCGAGAACAACATCTGATCGCCCCGGAAATCCTAGCATGGATGGAGGAGAAGAAAATTTCCCCGTGTTTTCCAACAGTGAAGTTGATGGCGATTTCGCCCTTCTCAGCTGGCGTGGATTTTTTTTTATCCAGAGCTAAAATCACTACCCCCAACAATTTCACCATAAAAAACAGAAAGCTCAGAGCCATCATTTTCCCCGCTCGGCATTTCGTCAAACAGGTGGTCGGTCCCACCATTAATGGCATGATACACTTGTAGCATTGTTCAACACGTCCGATCCAAAGGTTGAGTACCTGATTAACGTCACCCCAACCGCCGACGAGCACTTCAAGCACTGGCGATACGAAAATTATAACTTTACCCTTGCCTACTCCACGTCTCCATTCCTGGTCCGATCCAAGAAGCGCGACTCGGACGGCCCAACCCACACCAGTCTATTCAACCTCTACCTCGACGAACCGAACGAGTCGTGGTCCACCCAGATTGACGGCTTCGACTACCTCATCCTCAGCGAACGACCACTGGTTCACCCGCACAACCGTCTACTACGAGCGCCGCCACGCCATCGGCTGCCGCTACTGCCAGATCCCTAACTTTCGCCGGCCACCAGTTCACCCGTTACTGCCCCTGTACGGGCTTAGGCGAATGAGAGCTTGTTGAGGAGTATATGTACGCTTCTCCATGGATGGATAATTTGGAGCTTGGGATTCAATTTTTTCTTTTTTCAGATTTGGAGAGAGGGTATAGATGAGGGAGAAGATTTTCGGGGAGAAGAAAGGGGCGAAGAGAGAGAGACTTAAAAATGAATTAAGGTAAAAATTAAATGAATAATAATAATCTACTTTATATATGGGGAGTGAAATGGAAAGAGAAAATTAGGAGAAGAGAGTGCAGAGGAAAAAAATTAAGAGAGGGACTAATTTGGAAGTTGAAAAGAGGAGGAGAGATTTAAGTAGAATTTAGCGCTAATGTAATGACTAAGTCACTAAAGTAAAATAAATTAAATATATTAACAAAGACAACGACATCTCCTATTTCACTCCCAGCCACCACGACACTCCCTTTACACAAACTAGTAATCACCCGTGCGATGCACGGGGAAATTATTATCTATACGCTTTTTAGAATGCACTTTTGTATATAAATTATGTAATAATGCAATGATCATGATCATAAGAATAGACATGTAAACATATAATTAGACTGAAAAGATCATATATTATTGAACACTTCCCTATATACAACATTATTGGTTTGATTCTTTGGCATATCATCTTCGCCAAAAATTAAGATTTTCAAACATTTTCGGTTAGTGACATGTAAGACAACAACATATAATTGGTCATGACTGAACATTGGTTTCTTAAGAAATAAGCAAACATGAGATAAGGATTGTCCCTGTCTCTTGTTTATAGTCATGGCGCAAGAAACCATAATGGGAAACTGTCGCTGCTGGAACTTGAAAGGAATTCTAACATCAGAAGGAATTATGGCCATTCTTAGAATCAACACCTTATCACCAGCATGATCTCTTATAAGTATCTTACACTCAAGAACATGACTGGATAGCTTTGTCACAACCAATTGTGTTACATTACACAAACTCATAGAATGATCCATGTTCCGCAACATGACCGGAGTTCCAATTTTCAAATACAACTCATGGTTCGGTATTCCGGAACACTTGATACTATTCAAAAACTCAGGCGTATGGAGATCAGACAAAAAATCATTATTAGAATCCGATTTGCAGGTACTTTCAGAACTCAAGTACATACAACCATCCAACAAATTCAATGATGTCATGTACTCATTGATAGACTCGGCCACATCCAACGTCGGCCCTAAAATTCAAATTACAAATCAACTCCCAATTTTTTAAGAATTTTAAAAAAGTTATCAATTGTAGTAAAATCTAAAATTTTAGGCGAGAACTTTTTTTCAACTTAAAGTAAATCCCTATTGTTATTTTATAGTATTAGATTGAATTTCCAAAAGAACTAAGTCAAAGGTTTTGACTTAAATTTTTTATCAAGTTTCTATAAATGATTTTTTAATCAACCTCTTTCAATATATATATATATAAGTACATATAGTACTCCCTCCTTTTTTTAATAAGTATCGTTTTGAAAAGTTGCACAGTAATTAATAATTAATTTTGTCAATAATTACCCTCATTAATGACGATAGAGATGAATGTTTTGAGAAAAGATGAAGAATGAATATGAAAAGATGTAGTGTATTTATTAGCTAGATTGGGGTAATAATGAAAAAATATGTACAAAAGATCCAAAACGTCATTTATTTGGTTAATTGTTAATAAAGTCAAAATGACATTTAAAAAAAAAGGAGGTAGTATCTATATATAAAAAAAACAAAGGATTTATTGTATATAATAATTTAAAACTTACCAAGAATGTTTAAATTGCTTATAACGAAACTTGTTTTATATGACTTGATATTACATTTACATTGATATATTTTGATCTCCTACAATCATGCTCCCTAAGTAACTAATAAATTAGATATCCTTGTTGTATATATTTCACATGTGACCTTTCAATTCGGAAAGAATCAATTGACATTATCCTCATCCACAATTCAACATCATCCTCCCGGGTTTGTTTGTTAAGAAATTGATTCGAATATTGCTTTTAAATCTCATTTTTTTTACTCAAATTGCACGTGCTTTTTAACAAATTTTCCCAAATTAGTAAGTCAAACAAATTAATTAATAAGTCAAATATTCTATTTAAGTATTTTTCCAACAACCTTTTTATATATATATTAAAAAGAATCATTATTTACTTTTGACAATGAAGCCGATTTTTCTACCAATAAACTGATTTTTTATCAAACAAATTGATCCGAATATTTTTGTAAACCAAATAAAAAATCATCAATTTTTCCTAAAAATGCAACCGAATTTTTTTAACACTGCACCGATTTTTTTACCAAACAAATTGAATTGAAAATAATTTTAATAAAAAATTGAAACAATTTGTTAATGTTTATGCAACTGTCTCTTTCCTAAAGAAAATGATATGAACTAAAAAAATGATCTGAACTTACCAAAATCTCGGTAAAACATGCTTAAGAAAAAACATAAGAATCCAAAAAAATTGATGCAATTAAATTTTGAAAAGTTGCACACAATTTTTCCTAAATAATTGGATAAAAGATGACTTTAAATATCAAAGATGAACCACTTTTGTTACCAAAAATGTGGACACAGTTTTGAATGTACATCCCGTCCAAATATCAGTTTTATTCTAAAATTAAAATTGCACGTGGTTTTATCCAATTTACACACTTTTTTTTAAAAAAAAAATTATTCAATAAGATTGGAAGAATTGGTTAATAATTATACAACTATTTGTTTCCTAAATTCGTATTCAATTTGTACGGTTTTTAAGTTAATTTGTATTTAATATTTTTTTCATAAATAATTGACATATTTTTTGCATAAGAATCTCCAAATTTGTTACCAAAATATATGATTTAAATTTTGGTAAAAAAAAATTAAATATGATGCAAAAAAAAATGGGATTCAAAATTTGCCATAAGAATCTCCAAATTAGTTACCAAAAAAATAGGATTCAGATTTCGAGCTTTCCATTTATAGTAAGTCAATTGTTTTATTTATTAGGTCAAGCTTTCTATTAATGTATTTTTCCAACAACCTCTTTATATATATATAGACAACCGTTTTTGAACTAAAGATTCGGATAATTATGTAATAATAATTATGGATCCAATTGTGACTTATCCACATATCCCTATAATATCTCTAATCAATTAATTTTTGAATTAATCATGTAATGATAATTATGGATCCAATTGTGACTTATCCACAATCCCAATAATATCTCTAATAATAACCATGGATCCAATTGTGACTTATCCACATATCCCTATAATATCTCTAATCAATTAATTTTTGAATTAATCATGTAATGATAATAATGGATCCAATTGTGACTTATCCACAATCCCAATAATATCTCTAATAAACAAATTTTGAATTGAAGTATGAATTTTTTAAAATTTCGTGTATTATAAATGCAGTAAATATGGTTTCTATATTTAGATTGTCAAATTTTTTTTTTTGTCAAAAGTTTCTAAAAAGGTATTTTAACAACAACCTTTTTATATATATATAGATATAGATATATATAGATGATAATTATAGAATTGTGATAGATATCCCATAGAAACTTATCTCTTTAAATGACTTATCAACTCATGATATTTAAAATTTCGTGTAACTAACTTTGAGATTTTAAATGCTTTTAAATGACTTATCAACTCATGAATTTAAAAATTTCGTGTAACTAACTTTTTATCCCAATAATATCTCTAACTAATAACTTTTTGATTTCAAGTGTGAGTTTTTTAATCATTTTTGTGTATTAGATAGATTTGAATATGAATTCTAAATATAGAATGTCAATGTTTTTTTTTTGGTCAAAAGTTTCTAAAAAAGTATTTTAACAACAACTTTTTTATATATAGATAGATTAAAAGCCCTAATTTTCGAGAACATCTCCCAGGCTCCCTTTACACGAATCTGACTTCATCTCCGGTCTCCGGCGTCGGATTTCATACACCCGCGGCCCTGCACACACTCCAGTCGTCGGCAAGCAATTTAGAGATTGAATTTGTATCTTGTGTTTTACATTTGTTCTTAGTTGTGCAATCACTTTCTTTTGTTATATTGCTAGACTGAAGAGGTACGTTACTTCTAGTCTGGTACTGATTTTGTTGGAGCCAAGGGTTCTTGTTATTCAGATTCACCTAATTATTGTTTTTTGTGTTACTCAATTTGTATGTTTCAATTTATTAATCTATGAAATCATGATGGTTGCTCAATTAATTAGTTATTAATTATTTATTGCAATTAACCGATAACCGAACCGAACCGAACCGACCGATAGATTTTCGGTTAAAACTGAACTGAACCATAAAATTTCGGTTCGGTTTTCGGTTTTCGGTTTATGTAACGGATAAACCGAATTTTCGGTTAACCGAAAATTCGGTCGATTCAGTTCGGTTTTAACCGAATGTGCACCCCTAATAATAACTACTAGGATGGGTTATTTTATGTGATCACGCTCTCGATGCCGGCCACCGGATCCGGCGAACTTTTCCGGTGAGCTATTTTCCGGTTAAAATTCACTCACCGAGCCCCCGGTTCGCCGTTTTTCGCCATTTTCTTTGCAAACCTTCATGGATTCTTCATGGAAGGTTCATTTTCCAGCAACTGGAGCTCCGAGTTATGCTTATATCTTTTTTTTCTAACATTCTGGCACTATGAGCTTCAAGGTATCATGTTTCTTTTGATTTTTCTTTATTATTGGTTGAGGTATCATGTTTCTTTTGATTTTTCTTGATTATTGGTTGCTTGGGATGATGTGGATGCTACTCTTGCCGGAGTAGTGGTGTTGTAGAAGTCTTCAGCTCTGTAAAGGAGTTAAGGGCATGAGAAGAAGGAGAAACTAAAACCCTAGCGTCATTAGGGGAAATATCCAGAGCTCTGCGTGAGAAAGTCGCGAATCCGTTGCATTCTCTTTCTCAGGAAAACCGAAAGCAA